GCACTCGCGTGCCTTCATGGCGGCACTACTCAAACAGAAGCCTACGGTGGACAGCTGCGTGCGCGCCATCACCGCATCAGCAGCGATGGCCCTCGCAGCCTTGCTCTTGTCCACGACGCAGAGCGTCGAGTCGGACACAATCAGGTCAAACTCCTGTCGTATTCGGACTACCCAGTCAAGTGGAAGTGCCCACCAAGCAGCTCTGCCTGTGCCAAGCTCTCCAGGGCGGTGCCGCAGAAGGCCCGGATTCCTTCCTCGCTGAGATGGCAGCGGTCCGTGCAGAACGGATGACCTCTTCGATCGGTAGGTGAGGCTCGGATGCATGTTGCGAAGCTTGCCTGGTTGGCGAGCGCACTCCAGAATATTCGCGAGTTCATCGTCCCGGCCGTCGGCGAATGACTGCAGCACCTCCGGGTCTGCTAATGTGCGAGGCTGGTATATGCTTGCGACGGCACCTCGTATTTGGCGATCGCGGACATGACCTCGCGTTCTGCGGTATGTAATTCAGCGTGACTGGTCCGCTCAAAAACACAGCGGCAGGCCTGGTGCTGGTTGACGGGAAACCTAGAAGCAGGAAGGCCGAGGAGCTACGGAGCCCAAATGCTTCGTGGGAAAGTGTGTGTCTCTCGCACGTGGTCGTGTTGCTTTGCCGATCTAACCTGACAGTGCTCTCCGAAGTCGCTGTTTTGAAACTGCTCTGCCATCTGGTCCTGCTCCTGTCGAACTTCGCGAGGGCTGTGCCCGCGCCGCGAAGTGACGCTTCTCAGTTGATTCTGCTGCAGCAACTCCGTGTCTTGTGTCGGTGCGAGCATCTGATAAGCCGCGATGGCAGGGAATCATGTCTACGGCTCTCACGGATCGTTGTCGGCGATCACCTCCGGCTCCTGGCAAGCAACCGCGGTTCGCACTCGCATGTCTATTCCGTTTCTAGACTCGCTTAGCTATTCTTTTGATCGCTGTTGCCTCCACGGTATCATCCGTCCGGACCTCGTCCGCGCCCTCGTCTAGCTCCGGCGCTTCCGCCACTTTCTCCCGTTTGTCTTCCCCGGCAGGTTTGTCTGCCTTCCTGACCTTGCGCTTCTCCTCGTGCTTGTCCTCCCGCTTGGCGGCCTTCTGCCGACGTCTGCGGCTCGAAGATGTGGAGATGTCACTGTCGGGTCTGCTCTTCTCGTTCTTCGTGCCTTCCGCCGAGTCCAGGTCCATGTCCAGGGTAGCATCTTTCTCTGCGCCCTCCTCGAGATGCGTCCTCTTCGACTTCTTCTCCTTCCGGTCCCTCCCGGTCCTCGTGGCTTTTGCTTCCTTCTCCTGTTTGCGCCTCTTCTCGCGCCTGGCGGCTTTGCGGCGGACTTTCGAGCTGGAGGTCGAGGAAGACTCGTCTCTCTTCGCGCGCTTCTGCTCGATTGGCGCTGGAAGGCCCCAGGCGAGCCCATCCGCGTCCTTGTCGCCGCCTTCGTCGTCGCTGTCTCCACCCATGCCACCGTAGGTCCGCTTCCAAGCTGCATCGTCTGCGTGGCGCTGGCCAAATGCCTCCACCAGGTAGTCTACCAGCAGCTTCAGTGTCTTTGGCGACGCTTGCCACCGGGAGAGGGACGCCTCGTTCGTCACTGTGGTCGGAATCTTGCTGCTCCAATTGCCAAGCGCGTTGGACAGCGTGCTGGCCTCCAACGCTTGCATGCCCCCCAGGTACAGCAAGCTCGTCCTTTGCAGCACTGGCGGAAGAGACCTTTGGAGGATCTCTTTGTTCGCGCGAAAGAAGGCCAACCAAGTCTCCACGGCCTTTCGCCGTTTCTCTGCCGAATTGCTGTTGTTGCGATCCTTGGAGAGGATCTCGCACGCCTTCTTGAAGGCTGCGCCGTCCCTCCCGGAGAAGAGCTCGTGCAGATGCTGCAGTGCTGCCTGGAATTTGCGATCGTCCTCGGTTTCATCTTCCTCGAACAGGCCGGCCAGTGCCAGCATGGAGCTGCTCACCACCGACACTCCGATTGCGGGTCTCCGCGCCAGCTCGGAGTTGCGAGAATCGATGATTTGCCGCATGTGCTGCTTGTCAAAGAAGTCCGACACCGAGCTCTGAGCGTAGACTGCTTGCCCACGCTCGTCTGCGTAGGGCCTCAGAACCGTCTTGGCGAGCGCGTACTTGCCTTCTAGCCGGGGCACCCACTCCTGACCCTTTCCGTTTGGTTGCTCCTTGCCTTTGCCGCCCGCGGACTGTTCCCAGCCCTTGGCCGCGCCCGGTGCCGACGTCCAGGCGTCGTATCCATGGCTTCCGGCAGAAGAGTACCCATCCGAGGCTCCCGTCGTTCCGGTCCAGGCCCCCTTCCCGGTCGTACTCCACGGTGCTCCGCTCCAGGCATCCTGCGAGTGATCTGCGCCCTTCGAGGTTCCTTTACCGTGCTTGCCGGCCTTGCTGCCTTTGCTCCAAGCTTTACCCCACATGGCTGCGAGGATGATCCAGGGACCCTCCTCTCTCGCTTCACTCGTTGAGCCAGCAAACTGCAGCCCACATCTACCTTCCTTCATGACCTGCAAGAAAGTGCATGTGGCAAGCCATTGCTGTGGCCCGGTTCGTCCGTAGCCTGAGCCAGGTTCTGCGCAACGGACGGTTTGCCGGCCCTACGCTGCTCGGTCCAGTTGGTTGTGAAACCCACACGTTGAATCTATTGCACACCTCGCTTCGCGGGGGCCAGGCCCGCACCGCTCGCAAAGACGCCTGAGCAAGGGGAGTCGAGTTGTAACTCGCGTGATGTCTGTACACCTGCCTACTCAGGTTTTGTTGCCGGGTAGATTTCAGCTGTCGTCGTCCGAGCTGTTGCTCGACTCCATCTCCTCTTCCGGACCGTCCGCCTCTATCTGGTCTCGCCTGCGTTTCTTGCCGCTGCTGGTGGATTGTTGCTGCATCCAGCTTCCGGCGAGGCGGAAGTGCGGCGAGCTGCCGCCCGCGCCGTCGTGGACCGTGCCGAGTTGCAACTTGCAGACCAGAGGCCCTTCCCCGAAGAGGAGATCGTATTCCGAGGATGCACCCTCGGTGGTCACGAGCAAGGTCCCGCCGAGCCAACGTGCCACATAGGTCAGCACGGCTCCCTCCGGGAGATTGGCGCTCCCCAGCTGTTCCACCACGTCTGCACGTCCATCCTCGATTGCGATGCCGCCCACCATCTCCCGAAGCCGGCGGCAGGCCGTGCGTAGCTCGCGGTCCTCTCGACTGGACCGCAAGAAGCCGCTGTCGTCGTAGTTCAGGCTTCTCAGGCGCTCTACGTCCCGGGCGGCAAGTGCGCACGAGAACAGACAGTGTCCGTCCGGAGGGACGTCCAGGATTTCTGACGTGCCCATGACTTGGGGCCCCGCGTAGCCTCGCCTGCGCAGCTCCGCCGGCGTTGCCGGCACTCCGGCGTTGCTCGGGTCCATGAACCTGGGTTGTATCGATGCTACGGGAAAGACAGGGGTGCAACGAAGTAAGTCCGCGACGATCCTGTGCTTCCCGTCCCGATGGACCTCGAGGCAAGCTGATTG